AAGTTAGTGACCTGATTTGAGAATTCACTTCACACATATATTTAAATTTCTTCGCCGATGTTTTCCTTCACCGTAAGAACGTCGAGTGAACTACGTACATATGTAATTCGAAAAATCACTATGGTATAACGGGATTCGAACCCAGGACCTGTGTAACAGGACCTCTTACAAGTGCAATGCTTTAACCAAGAAATATAACAATACACAACGATGTAACAATTTAAATGAAATCGCAGTAAGTAGAGCGAGCTCCATACAAAGTGGCTGCGATTGAGTTCGCATCGGTCGTTAGCTCGTTACAGCGACATCGCACGTCATGGACACGACACAGAACAATGGTAGAGTCATGCTATCTACTTGCCTTAAGTTAGTTTGCTTAGTGTGCTTACCGTGACTACTAACAAATGTTTCTCAATTTATATAGCTTAAAAACTATACACTTTTGTCGATACGGTGACATTAGAAACCATAATCTTATCAAAATTATAAATGCGAAAATCTAAATGGATGGATGATTGTTTGTTAGAGTTTATAGCCTAAACTGCTGAACGTATCTTGATGAAATTTAATAACACATAGGCTACTAACTTTTAATTCCACGCGGACCAAGTCGCGGGCAAAAACGAGTAATCTATAAATATAACAATAGTGAGTGGAATGGTACATTTTCACCGAATTCTCTGACCAACTTTACAATATTATTATCTGTGAAAATAAATAATATACTTTCGTCGCACTTCACATGAATATTTCCAGTGAGAAAGGCATAAATTAAATAAATCATGCCAGTGTTACAAAAGTACAATTTACAATCGTATAATAAGATATATTCTAAATGTAATTGTCTCACTTTCTACATAATTACTTTTGATTTCTACGAATATTAGAGCTCGGAGTACCGCTAACTACGGCTACCTGGTCGTTTCACACGAGGACAGTCCAGTACTGCCACTTGTACACTTACTATCTACATTACAATGTTCCGTTTCAGCGTTAAAAGTCAAACAATAGCCATACTACATTGTTTACTGCTCTACACCATTTTTGTGCCCTCATGTAAACCAGTATGATGTTTTCTGAGAACTTTTTTGGTGAAACGGGGAAATGTTTCTTTTGATAATCAGCTGTATTTGTACCTGCTTTGTCTGTGGTGTTACACACAGAGGTTATGTGGACCAGTTGCGTACCGTACCATATCGTTCTTATGTGTTCTAGCTTCCTATGACGATAGTACTGTTATAGTAAACTTTATACTGTGTAGAGAACTAATATAACCGCTTGTTAGCTAATATTGTAAAGAGGAACGATTTGTATTTTTGTATGTATTAAAATAACTCGAAAACTACTGGGCCGATTTAAAACATTTTTTCACCATTAGAAAGGTTATTTGTTTGTCAGTAACAAAGGTTATATATTTTTTTTTATTTATGCGGGATAATCGGGAGCAACAGCTAGTATTTGATGTAGAGCGTAACATAACGTGACGAAAATAGAGATGAAAAAACAAAGAATGGTACATATTCGTTCTTCAAATTGTTCTTTACGAAAATAATCGTATGTACTAGAAATCTAGTAAAATTACAATGCATCTTAAATCTTTGCACCTAAGTCAAGTAGATCAATACATCCACTAGGTCAGTGACACACTGGGCCAAGGTCGGACATGTGACCAATGACGTCACACATACTGGTACAGTACCGTATGTCACTTCAGTGTTATTGCATGAAGTCTTCCCGTGTACATATTTGCACGAAATTGTTTACAACTGTACGGGTTTGTACGCGACTGTATCTGTAGTGTCCGGGAAAGTGTAACGGGACCTCGGGCACATCGACTGTACCGCAGCATTCTTATACGCATTTGTATTTATAAGTACTACAACAGATATCACTTGTGATTATAAATGTATCTTTAAGTCAGTGTTAAAGGACTTAGCCTCAGAAATTAAGTTTTTGAATGATTTAGATGAGAAACATGACGAAATATTTATCATCAAACCAACAAGACAGTTATAGCATACGTTTCTAGGACAAATAATACAATGGTATAGTAGTTTATATATTGGTCAAATTCCTACGCCCCGCTTAGCCGCATGACTTGGCGCCACTGGAACCTGCTCTGTTGTGTATAACAGGTTTTAACTGACAGCGAGAGCACGCGCAGGATATAACCTATTGACTAGATTTTCTAACTAGGAAATACAGTAAGTACTAAGTGACCCAGACTACAGAGTATCGACTGATAGTTTGATCAGACTGTGAAGCAAAAATCATATAAAACGAATTGAGTATAAAATACACACTTTTATCGAAATCCGTTTAGCAGTTTAGGCTACAAACTCTAACAAACATTCATCTAAACTTATATTACTATGACAATAGACTATTTAAATTATGTTTCTTGTAACAATTCAAACTATGCCTTAAATAGACTTCTTTTAGGACAATAGTCGGTAATGCCCTAATTAAGATTAAGCTTTTCAAACAGATGTCTCAAATTTGAAGCGCTTTTATTTTCAGTACTTAAAAAGCTTGAATCATTTTTGGCTGGATAACGTTATCAATATTTATCTGACAGGTATCCTTGTTTATTGGTCGTGTGCGTGGGAAGACAAACGCAGTAACGGTATCGGGAGAAAGCCGCGCCCGCAATGTCCTTGTACACATATGTCCTTAACTGACCTCAAACCATCTCACAAAACTAACTACAAACTATTGTTTATGTTTAGTATTTTGTATACTAACACTTTCATTATTACGCTAGTTGTACAGTTGTAAATATGACATCGAGTAACATTTAACATGCGTTATTTATGTCAACTTCTATAACAAATCGAATAAGTGTAAGTTGTTTGAGTAAGAAGTAATCACCTTGTATGGCCTCGACCTCAAATACTGTAGCTTTGTGTCGGGATGTGGGATGCGATCTCTACATTTAACTGTTTATACTAATAACAATAAATTTCATTATTATGATGAGAAGACATACATGGTTTCGACTGTCTCGGGTCACTTAATTCCGTTAAGTCCGATGACACCGAATGTCTCATTTGTTTTGGTTCTTAATGCGGGATTCACACTAGGACAGTACAGTTGATCAGTAGAGAACAACTACTAGACTAGAAATCAATTGGCGTAATGTGAACCGCGTCTTACCCTGAGTATCATGGAAGTACAGTCGGAATGATGAAGGACCTCACTAACATATAAGTCTATGGGCCTGTCCCACCAAATTATAAATTGTCTGATAGCAATCCAACGTGTAAAATATGAGATTTTGTTCCCGTATTTAACAGTGACGTCATTTTTAGGCCCTTACTCAGGTGTCTTGGCATCAGTTACACCTGTGAAATCAATCAGGTATGTGTACAAATGTATCTTGGTGTGACAATTGGAGCGAATCAGTTCATGCAATATGCATCGTTAACGGAATCCACGGCATCGCCGCATTCCAACATGCCGTTAGCACAGTTATCTTACGTGACCACTAGATGCCGCTGTACTGACTTACTAGTACCGTACTATTTGTGTACTACTATACCTAATCAAGGTCATCATTAAAAAAAATTAACTTAACTGTACTTCTGTACATGTCGGGTAGCATTCTACATTTTTCGAAGACATGAAGGCGGTAAAATGCGGACCATCTAACTTTCTCAATTCGATTTAATTTCGCACGTAAAGAATGAAAATATATTTTTTATTAATAATTAAAATAAATCTCTGCATCTCCTCTTATTTCATGGATTTTGTATTATTCGAAAAACTTAACAAATCATCTTATGAAAAATCACTTGAACAAAAGCCTACATAGATTGCACTTGTTGGATTATACAGGAAATAACTTACCAAATAGAAATAATTTAACTTCATTTTTACTATTTTTAATGATCTATGTCCATACACTAAAACAATACGCACAACACTTTATCCAACTTACTAAAAATATCACAAAAACTAAAAAATATTAAAACTTTCCCGTTGGCGCGCTTTTCTCGGTCATCGCGTCTTTATTTTTTTTTAATTTCGTGGCAGACACAAGTTTGTATCGCGTGCAGCCAGCGAGAGCAGCTCCTACTGTCTCCGGCCGACGGACACACGCGCTCAAGAGAACGGCAAGTTTTCTAGTCTCAGGAGAAAGCATCTCATATAGAGCTGCTTTATGTTACTTCTATTAAATGCATTACTATGATCACGTTACTGAATACCATTAAATAAACTACAATAAATTACCCTATATATATTGTACCAATAAAGTGTGTATTTATAATGAATATATCAATATCCTACATTAGCATACTTTACTACATTTTTCAAAAGATATTTTATTTATGATGATTGTTAGCAAATATCAAACATTTCAGTGAGGTACATATTTCTTTTACACATCAATACTAAGTAAAAATATATGCTAAGAATGGAATTTAGAGTCGTAAATAGAAATTATAAAGAATATATATAGAATAGAAAAGTTATTGCTTATTTAAAACTGCATAATTTTATAATTTAAACAGCTCTATGTGATATCCGCAATCCGCATGCTTGGCGCCAGTTTTCGCGCCATTTCACGGCGGCCATGACAGCGAACCGCGCGTGCCGCAGCCGGCACTGCGGGCCACGGCACACTGACCTTTATTCCACAACCATCTACTATGCAATTAAAATTTCACCGTTTCATTAGGAATATAATAAGGTTAACCGCAATCGTTACTGAGTTAGAAATGTAAACTAAAGTAGAAATAGAGAAATTAACATAAATGATTCATGTAGAGTAAATATCTATTATAATATTATGTAATAAATATTTAATCATTAGCACAATGAAATTTAAAAAGATTCTGTTCTTGAATCTAAATAAGATAAACATTTGTTATCGATTTTTGTTTTTAGACCACAATCATCTTTTATATTATTGTTTTAAAGTAAACAAATGATTTCACATCGCGAAGGCGTTATCATCTCCCGCTCCCGCAAACCACTGATACTGTAACCATGATATAATTAAAAAGGTTGGTACACACTCCCGACGTGTAAGTTAAATTATTCTGTTTACTTCAAAGGTTTTTATTGTAGCTATCGAAAAAAAATCTTACCTCAGAATTTTACACGAAAATTATAAAAAAATGATTTAGATGAAATGATGAATTCGGAGAAATCTAGTTTTTTGTTAAGAGTGGTTCCACTTCTGGCTATCTCACGAAGCCGCTATTATATTTGACTGTCAACAAATAGACTGGAATTATAATGAGTGATGAAACAGTTATATCAATAAATTACATAAGCAACGGTGTAACCCCACCCTAAGACATTATCAGTAACATTTGACCTCGTTTATTAATGAGAAACATCGGCATTCTCAATAATATCTGTCGACGCAATGTCCCGGCCGGTGCTCTCCACCCACGTGCTCGATACATCCAGTGGGAGCCCAGCGGTGGGCTTGTTCGTGGACTTGTACAAGAAACGCGACGAGTCATGGACTCTGTGGCACAGTACAACGACATCTGGTGACGGCCGGGTGCAGTTTCCTTTCTCGCAGGATTCAATGGCAGCGGGCATATACAAACTGAACTTCAAAGTGGAGGATTATTTTAAAAAGAACGATAAAGCAACATTATATCCTTTTGTTGAGGTAAGATTATATTTATTTGTTTTATTTTTAATATGCAATAGAGGGTCTATCACGAATATTCGCAGTTACAAAAACGTATTCGTAAAATCATCGACGTTTATGAAATATGTGAGTGTACTTTACGCCCGGTAGAGGCGCTGCACTAATCTGATATTGTCGATGACATTACGAAAACGTTCTCGCGAATATTCGTGATATACTCAAAGTTAAACAAAAGATTTTACTTTTATTAAATGTCTATTAGACCGCGCGCACTCCTTTGACTAAATTATCGCACAACTGTTGTCTCCCTTGGATTCCCATGAGCTTATATGGAGGTGCGCACACTTTACGTTTTTTAACTTGTGATAAACAGTTGAATTAGCTGCGAAACAATCGACAATCGCCCAACAGTTGTACAATAGTTTAGTGGAAGGTGTCCGCCTGATCTTACATAGACTTTATATCATAGAAAATAAGATTTAACTTTTAAAATCATACGTGAAATATTTATTAGTTGTGTTGTTTACAGATCGTGTTTACGGTGAGTGAGGGCGCGCACTACCACATCCCCCTGCTGCTCAGCCCCTACGGCTACACCACCTACCGCGGCAGCTGATCACTAAAACACCTAAACTTCTCATATTAAAATTATATATTTACATTATCTATTGTTTTATTTATTACTCTTGTACGTAATCTATTAACAGTAAATCATTTTACGCTACGTTTCTGTCCAAATGGATTTTTTTTTCGAATCTTAATACTATTTTGAACCACGATAAGCCATCTCATATAATACTAATATTATAAATGTAAAAGTTTAGATGAATGGATGTTTGAGTTTGAAGCCTACAATGCTGAACGGATCTCGATGAAATTCGGCATAGATGTACAGTCTGAAAGAACACATAGGCTAATCACTTTAGTTTTTTTTTCAATTACACGCGGACTGAGTCGCGGGGGAAAGCTACTTGTCAATATTTACCATACTTTACATAAGGCTGCTATCTTGAGATAAACTATAATTGCCTTGAGATATGCCACTTTTAAACATAACCCAAAATTTTCTCCGACTAAAGTTCAATACAAAATTCAATATCGGTTTAAGGAGGGAAAATAAAACTTCAGTTTTATGTAAAAATAGTATATAATATAATGTATAAGCCTATATAAAGTAGATCCATCTACACAACTAAGATTTTTAACATTAACAAAAATTTCATCAATCTGTTTATGTTTCATTTTGCAACACCTAATAATTTGTTTGAACAAATTTAAACATAATTACTTATACTATGTGAATAATACTTAAAAACATACTAAAAATGTTATGATATCCTTAAATTGTTCTGACAATTAAAAAACTAAACTACAGTATATAATTTAATGCACTTCATATTTATATGCCATTTTGAACACATAAGTAAACTATAGTTCTTAATTTAATTCATCTTTGAAGTACCTAATATTTTTTCTCTCTTCATAACTGCACTTGTATTGGGAATTGTTGAATATTAAATTTGTCTTCTTGCTTTATACTATGTTTTTAACACTATTTATGGTCTTACACTTATCATACTTTTTGTACAAAATCTAAATTAAATATAATAGTTTTAATAACTAGTTGCTCATTTGTTCTTTACAACAAATTTGTCTTTTATAATGGAATCTGACTTCGTTTTATCCACTTTATTGAAAGGTACGATTTGTGACGGAAAGTATATAAGAAAAAAAAACAAAAAAAAGGTAAGCCCTATTCCTGAGGTTTACTATTAAAGAGAAATATATACAGGGGATGTATTTTGTAAGAGAACTTTGTTTGGCACGGAGTCTGGTTGCTGGCGTTGACTCTGCAATGTAAATAGTCACATTTATCAGTTAAACTATATTGAATACAGATTTGCACATTCGCCACCCCGATGTCCCAATGTCACAAGCACTAATGTAATATCACAGCTTCAATCACAGATATGTCCATGTCCTGTCTAAAATGTTCCAATTTCACTAATTACTTGATGAATCTTCTTTTCCGTTACATTTTATAATTTACCTAAACATGGCCTAGCTACTGGCATTATTGTGTGTAGACAATATATTTGATACAAATGTACAGTCAGCTACATAAATATGTATACATTTACCAAACTACAGAAACTTGTATATGGTTTTGGTTACAAAAATATGTAAGCCCATGCCTGGCTGTTTGCTTACAATAAATATATTTTATTGACAGATGAGTGAAAATATATTTTTGTAATCAAAGGCAAGTTCTAGTTATGTAAGTGTATTAAAATTTTTACAGCTGACTGTACAGTAGTTGAATTTCACGGATAGATAACCTTTTCTTTCCAATTTGATAAAATATGCGCTAAAATAAAAAGGCATTTTGGTAACAGGCTAATAGACAATGGAGTAGTTGACAATGATTCTAGAATGTTCATCTTGTATAACCTAGAAAAAATTCAACATTATCTCTGAAAGTTGCATTTGTGAGAAGATTTAATTGATGAATGTGTCCTGTGGAGAGAAGATTAATAACACAAAGATATAAAGACACACTCACCGCACAGTGGGGGCGCGCCACGCGGCCGTGCGGCGCTTGCCGCTGCCACATCTAGTATTGTGAAACCAGAATCAACACATTAGAAATGTTTGCTACAAGTTGCCTCCGACAGAAACATCAAACCCATTTTCAACATAAGTCTTCATCATCACTTACACAAGGAATATTTTAGTTTTGAAATATTAATTAATTAATTACATTGTCTTTCACTTGATGATAACTTCTATATGACAAAAAAATATTATTTAAGATTTTATGACACAAAAATCCTGTACAAAAATATGATATGTAGAATTTTTTGTTATTACAAACTGTGCCAATATGACACACTGCATCTTAGAATACTTACTGATTTTTAGTATTTTTGAAGTTAAATTGTGTTTTTAATATTGCATTTTCTCATTTAACATTTTAATGAGTTTATCTTTAAATCTGTATAGTCTCTGATAAGATAAATCTAATATATATCTTTTTAAATAAATCAAATTTAGATAAAATAATTAGTAATGGAAATAAATGCAAATAGAGGATTGGTTTACTCCAAATCCACTGACCTCCAGATATCCAACCTGCAAATAAAGTATTATAAAAACATTTAAATATAAAACCAACAGAACTCACCAATGGTTTCCTTCCTCTTGTCCGACGACTTCTTTGTAGCGGGCGATCATCAGCTTCTTGACAGTATCCCTGTAGGTCTCCCCCGGCGTGGGGGTGTAGACTCCGCGCTTCTGCCCCAGCCCCGCCAGCGCGGGCCGCTGCTCCGCCTCCACGGGCGCTATCCGGCCCTGCTCCGTCTTGCCCAGCCCGCGTCCCGCAGACCACCCCATCTTCTGCAACATCTTACCGCCTATTGTGTCCACCACCGACGGAGGCGGATGCGACATGGCTGACGCCTGAGAGTTGTCGGAGGGTTCGTATCGCTTCCTTATAGGAGGTGGCTCATCCTCTCCAAACTTCATCCTCCTCTCTGCGGCTCGGTCTCTATACCCGTTGGTCTGTGGCAGGAGATCATTTTTCTTGCGAAATTCCGCCAAATTTTGTTTATGTAAGTCGGATAATGTTTTGTGTTTTGTTAGAACTTCGACGGATGGGAATTTCCGTTTGCAAATAAGACATGTCAACTTGGCCCAGTCGATTATATCCTCGT